AAATATCAACGGCATGCCGAATATTAAATACCCTTTCGAGTATATATAAACACAAAACGAACACGATTTTCCGCCTTTTTTTCTAACTGTTTGAATAAGAGAGCTTATGTTCAAAAGCTTTTGCCTAAATCGAGGAGTATGTTGGAGAACGTGAGTTTAATGCAAACAGCTTTTATAATCTACAATATCGTAATATTCCTTTAAATAAACTAAATGCATGATAGTATAGAAACTGGTGGATGAACATGGACGAGCATGATTGTATTAATGACAATAAATCTCTATTTATAATACTGTTTGTCCTGACTGACTATTTGACTGACTGATTACCGTAAGGGCTAGGAAGTTGAATTTTTCACTGTAATTTCCTTATGTGATGAAGGTGCACGCTAAGACGGGGTTTCGGAAAATTCCACCCGCAAGTGTGGAAAAAACACGAAAAACTTTTATATGAAACTTATTTGTTTAACATCCGATCGGCCTCAAACCTCAAAATTTCCAAGATCTTTGTTCAAATTCATTTCACGGGTGCTTCACACTTTTCGAAAAAATACATTCCTCCTTGGTGGAAATGGGAATCAAAGATTTGGTGGGTGACATTTCGCACTCAAATTCATTATCAAGGATCTATATGAAAAATCATTTGAAACGTGTTTCACATTTTTCGCAAAATCAAAGCTTCATCGGTAGTTCGATCGGATTCAAGCCCATTTTCAAAAGATATTTAAGACAATTTATTTTATACGTGCCACGGGCAAGGCCGGGGTATATCCACTAGTATAAATTTATATATATATTTTTTTCTTGTATCAAAGGCAATCAGAATTTATTAAATATATATTTATATAGTCTTTGAATATATCGACTCTGTCGCATTACAAATTTGGATTTACTTGACGTCGAAAATGTTGTGACAAAAATGATGATACCTTCTGCAAGGGTATGAAATGCTGACAATTCTCTGCCTTCCTTCAGTTCTGGGCTCTACATTTTTTCGCACGTAGCTGAAAACCGCGTGCCCGCGGGTGTGTGTGTGCCTCTCACTCTCTCTGTGTGTGTGTGTGTGTGTGTGTGTGCTAATTTAGGCGTCTTTTGTTGTCTCCCGCCTGAATGACACACACAGAGTTGGGCACAGAGCGTGGGAGTGCACAAAAAATGGCCGCCTGTCGTTTGTTGTTGCTGTCGTGGTATGGCAGCTCAAAAATAATAAAAAAAAAAACCAAGCAAGGAAGATCCAAAAAAATAATAAACAACAATGCGACTTTGTCTGTGAGTGGGCCATGCGGTTGCAGCTGCAGCTGCAACAGTTACAGCAACAGAATTCTAAATAGCACAGCCACGCAATGCGGCTGCTTTCCATTGGCATGCCACAGCCCCCAGTCCCCAGCCCCCAGTCCCCAGCCCCCAGCCGGCACAGCTGCATTGCCCATCGCCCCCGGGTATTCGTGGTGCCGTTCAAGCATAACTTTCATATTCATTCATGCGTTCTTTCATTGATATTTAAGACTTAGCCTGGTCTAAAAGACTAGACAAGACCGCAAAACAAAGCCATCGAATCACATAATTTTTCCACACTTTTCGAAAAATCCGTTCCTCCTTGGTAGAAATGGAGGTCAAAGATTTGGTGGGTGACGTTTCGCGCTCAAATTCGTTTCCAACGATCTATAAGAAAAATCATTTGAGACGTGTTTCACACTTTTCGCAGAATCCAAACTTTTTCGGGTGGAATGCGACTCAAAGATTTTTTGTGCGAAATTTTAAATTGTGTCCGATCTGCTTAAAACTCATTTTCAAAGCTCTACATAAGAATGTAATGAATACGTGTTTCAGCGATTTGAGAAATTCCACTCTCAACAGTGGTAAATTGGCGGAAAACGTTTGTATGAAAGTTATTTGTTTACCGTCCGATCAGTTTCAAAATCATTTCAAATTTGCTTGAGAACATTGATTTTATGACATACGTGCCACGGGCAAGGCCGGGTTATACCCGCTAGTAATTATATATACTCCTGATCAGTTTCAATAGCTGAGTCGGTAAAACAATGCCAGTCTGACTTTTTCTGTACAAACTAGAGTCTTTGGAACAGGCGATACCTATATCGGAATTGGCCCTATATCATATAGCTGCAATGGGAAATCAAATCGGTTTTTGATGAAGAACTTTTTTGTTTTTCACGACCAAACTTGGCATTCAAAAGTTCTACTATCCTTCTTATATATGAGCTACATTTTTTCAAAATCGGACTTCTGTACAGAGAGGAAGAATAGGGTATTTAATTTTCGGCGTGCCGCTGATATATTATTCTTTTTTATTTTCTTGTTTCACATTAATTTTGATGTCTACAACGAAATTTATCTGAATCTTTTAATGTGCTTTGCTTGAAATCCTTTGCAGCCAAACGCGTTTAGATCATCATTAGCTTCATTTTAAAGTCATTTTTTGTCATATATCTTGTGCGTCCATTAAGTTGCATAATCGCTGGCTGCTCGGGTTGTTTGTTGCTTTAGAATTTGGCTGGTGTATCGCCTCGGTTTACAGAAAGCGGAGGCAAAAACTGTAGCGTCCGTTTTATTGCTCGCTAATCATCGGTTATATCGGAAGCTTCCATCTTGGCTCCAAATGATTTATGGGCCCCGCATGGATTGGCATTGATTCAATGCAGGCCGAGTGTCTGAGAGGCGGCAGCTGCCCCAAGGCCAGCAAGAAGAGAATTTGTGCGTGTGTGTGTGTGTGTGTGGGTGTATGTGGGTGGTTGGTTAAAGGTTATATATCTTTTATTTGGATTCTTGTCTTGAAATTGTTGCAGATTTTGCAACTGCCACTCGGCTATTTGTCTTGAATTACTTTTCGATTTGCACTTTACACTTCACACACACACACACACACACTCACACACACACACACACAGATAGACACCCAAATGCACTTATTTATTTGGTTTTCAATTTCGGTTTTTGGCTTTTGCTTTTGTATATTGCAGGCGAAATGCTATCGGACAAGCGCCCGAGCTGTCCCAGCCGCCCACTTCGACAGGGTCCGCAGTAGACAAATTGCGCGTAAAATAAAACTTCAATTGCAGCAATAACACTAGGAAAAACAACAGCAAGAACAGCAACAACAACAGCTGCAGTAAACAGCAGCAAAGCAAAAAGAAGAAATTGAAAAGCGTTTTAAAAACAATGAAAGTGGCAAATTCACAGCCCAGCCCTCAGCAAAAAACCCACTCCTCTAAAATCCAGCATAGCTGCGGAAATTCGCAAATATTGCGAATACGTGTTCTTGTACGTGGGTGTCTTTCTGTCTGTGTGTGTGGTGCATTTGAACATGGACAGCAACAAGAACAATAACAACGCCGCGTGTTAATGTGGTACGTGGCGAACCCAAAAGCAATATTCGTTGCATTAAGCGAGCGCAACTGCAGGAAAAGTCAAATTTTCCGCTTTTAACTGACGTTTGCCGCTGCCGCTGCCGCAGTCGCGGGCCCTTTAAGGGTCAATCGAACCCCCGAGACTCTAAACGTGCGCAAGGCGACGACAGATGAGCCGGGCAAAGGGTATACCAGGTATCGCAAGAGCTAAGCGCAGCGATTGTATTAGCAATACACTAAAAGTAGTCACAAACTGTTCTCTCCCTGCTAAGAATTTCAGTTGACTCGCTTCTTCGTCGCTAGGAAGACAGCAAGGCGATACTTTGAGCAATACATAACATCGCATGTTATAGTGGCATATAGCATATGCTAAAGCAATAGTTTCTAAATATTACTGGCTCTAATGGCCTTCAGCTTAGGCCTTCCTGGTCTGAGACTCAAACTCGATCTCTTTTGATCAGCTCAGTCATTAGGACACACATCCAAAAGGATAATTAAGCATGTTACTATCGCTAATGTATCTTCCGCGCGAAACTATTTCCTACTTCCAACTTATCACGTTGCTGTTAGAAAAGCGATAAAATGTCTTTGTTGTCCGATATCAATAAGAAGAACTGCATCTGATCTTCTGCTATAACAAATGTCAGTTTAAACCTATGTTGAGCTCTCTTCTGAGAGCCGATCATGCATCCTGAGATCGTTGGATTGGCAACTTCTGGATGGGCTTGTCTAAGTCCTGCGAACGAAGTAGAAATCACTTTATCTTTAGTATCTAGTCCGGTGATTCACATGTTGACATTAGCAATCCTCCGAATGATCGTTTTTGTAGGCATTGAATTTACGCCAGGATCTGCATTAATAATGTGGCAATGAACTGAAGGACTCTGACATTATCCAATTGATTTAAAACTACTTAGAAAGGTATTCTACGGATAAAGGTATTCTGATTGACTGATTGATATACATTCTATTTTTACCCCTTCCTATCTTAAAGGTTCTGCTTAAAGACTTAATTTATTTTCGACGTTCATTAAATTACTTAAGAAGAAAAGCATATAGCAAGGTTTTTTACTGTTTTCTTTTGATGGTAAATTTTCTTTCATTACTTTTACTTGCACAGTCTATTCAATTAAGAATACATATTCTTTAGTTTCGCACCTCTGTTATCATGATGATTTTTTTTTTTGTGAATGTGAATATACCGGACTAATATGGAATATTCTGATAAATATATGAATGTAAACTTAACTTGAAGGATAGCTAATCTAATTTTCTCACAGACTTGCACATCTGCTCAAGATGTGGTATAATATGTACATTTATTCTATTTGTATAATTTCCATAAAAAGAATATACATTTAAAACATTTTTAAAGTGGTTTTAAGAATAAGTGTGGCTTTAAATACTCTTAACTTTAATATCAAAAGCCTGTGAACTAACAACCAAGAACTTATCATTCGTGTATCACGCTTTTTCTCCTAAATCCTCTCATATTACCTTTGTATATATGCGTGCAGGTCTATTGAATTTTTGCAATTATGTTTTCAGCTCGGCTCGATGAATTAACTCGTATTTGATTTTTTGATTATCAGTTTCTGTAGCCCCTCTCTCTATTTTTCGAACTCTTTGCAGTGGTTGTGTGGGCGTGGCAGCTGCTAACCAAAGTGCAATTGGAATCGGCATTGAGAGCGGAACTGCAATCGGTATTTGGAATCAAGAAATACAAGTGCCCAACAGCCCCCGCCCGCCCCCTGGAGGGGCAGCTGCGCTGCAGCTGCAGCGGCGCCAGCGACAACTAGAACGGCACAGACGAGCAGCGTCACAAGCATGACGACGCTGGCAGCGACGTCGACGTCGACAGCGATGCCAGTGGATGGCATTGGCACTGCGAAAATGTTTTCGGATGCGGATGTGGCGGAAGTGCGGCACGTTGTGCAACGCATTTTGGTGCCGTGCGTTTTTGTTATTGGACTATTGGGAAATTCAGTGAGCATTTATGTTTTGACGCGGTAAGTGCACTTGTATGCGATGCTGCTGCTGCCGTTGCTGTTGCTGTTGCTGTTGCCATTGGTGTTGCTGCCACAAACTGTTTTTGCTGTTTTTGCTGTTGCATGGATTATGGCCGAGCGGCCAACTTGATTCGAATGGAGCAGAGTGCGGGTGTGCGCAAGTGTGTCAGTCTTAATGTGTGTGTATGTGTGTGCATTTTATGCATTTTATGTTTATGTTGCGTGTTGCACGGCCAAAAACTGCAAACAGGTACGCAGCACATTACACAGGGCATTTAATTGTTGCCATCTAGCTGGCACTCTAAAATCATTTCATTTCCCAAAATGCCAGCCACAATAACAACAGCAACAACAACAATGAGAGCAATGACAACAACAATTATAACAGCAACAGCAACAATTTCACGTGCCAAATGCTAACGGTTCACAGATAAGGGCTCACTGCCCGCTTTAGTCAACGTGGGCGGGGCTGGGATTTTGCCCTTTAAATGTTGAAAATATGCGACAGTTGAAGGCGCTGTATGTACATAAGCTGAATGCCGTAGAACTGCCATAATATTCTTAGTTTCAAAATTACCCAGTAAGATCAAGAAGTTATAATACTCCAATTTCTAGAGTAACTTACAGGCAATTCGTTTAAACAGCTGAAAGCTATTTATAATAATACTGCCTATTGCTATATAAGCCAATTACAGTAAATATGTTCACAAATATAGTTATTAGATCTGTAAATGATCCTGTATACATGCGAGACAAAAGCTCATTGCTATGTAAGCTTATAGAAAACTAGTCATAGTGTGGACTATTACATATGTAAGGCCGACTGTAAGCTATAATCCCAAACCTGCTACAAATGTATTCGTGGACAGGACCGCTGCGGATAGGCTTAGAACTAACCTATAAGGTTATAAAAATATCCCTCTGCAACACTAAAGTTTCATAGCTAAAAGCTATGCATCACTTTGCAACACTTTAAACTGACAGCTACGTAAGGCAGCAGTGCTGCTTAGTTTCGTTATCGTATTCAAGCAGCTTATAAATGTATCCTTTTGCAACACTCTAAATTCGCATAGCTGACAGCTACATGAGGCAGCAGTGTTGGTAAATTTTGTTAGCGTATTCAAGGAGCGACGTCGTTCAACCCTAGCGTTAGGTCAAACAACACCATCGCCAACAACTAAATATGAACAGTTAGGTTTTATTGCGCATTCGTTTGCTTTTATGACCTTGCCGACATTTGCGTGCATTTGCCAGATTTTTCTTTTTCACCAGGCTTGCCACTGGCTGCCCTACAATTTCGTTATTCAATTATTGTTGCATTTGGTTTAGTTACATTGCATCTTCCTAACGGCTGTGGGCCTGATTTGCATACGCAAACAAACGATTTGCATGCATATTTTTATTTATTTTGTTTGAATATATTTTTTTTTTCTATATTATTTTTTTGCTATTTAGGAAGCGCATGAGGTGCACTACAAATATTTATCTATCGGCTCTGGCAATTACGGATATTGCGTACCTGACCTTTGTATTAATTTTATCACTCAAACACTACGAATATATCAAATATCATTGTGAGCTATATTGGCGACTATATGGCTTTATAATGTGGCTATGCGACGCATGTGGTAAGTACAAATTAAAAAAAAAACATCCTAAAAGTGGGAAGGAGCCACGGGTGTGTTAGAATATGATACAGAAGAACGCGAAGATGTAAACATAAAATTAGGAACTCTTTAAAATTGAATAGTAAACATGAATATTTTTATATATTAGACTGAAAAGTTAAGTTATTGGGGATGGTTTAATATGAAGCTATATGATATAATGGCACTGTCATATAAATCCGACCACAATAATGATACGATATGGTATGTTTTGATGTCAGACAACATTTAAAATAAATCCGATAATAATTGATTGATTGATTGAGTTCATTCAGTGATAAGTTAATCTCATTTTAAGACATTCACTTTTTATTAATAATCTCTTAAGCAATGTCTTAAAGTTAGCCTTACAAATAATACATATTTTTCTGACTTCGTGACATAAAATGCAATCATGATAAAAAAAGGAAGTTAAATGCAGAATTCAAGAGAACTCTATCTAAAGACAGGACAAGCAATTAGACAAAATTGACAAAAGCCAGTTGAAAATAAAGTAGAAAATAAACCAAAGAAGGCGAATAAACAACAGAAAATAAGTAGGAAAAAGCATGTTAATAAGAATAGTCGAGAACAGAATCCGATATTAAAGCAAGTGTTAATCAAACAGAGTGTTTTCGGTAAAAATATGGATACATTTTTACCAAAGCTAATACGAGCTTATGGAATTAACTGGTATGTTTGTAGCTTTTGACTTAACTGACAGACCATTTATTTATTCTGGCACGAGTTGCAAAAGGAGTTTGGGCTGAAGTGGGCTGTGAGGGAGGTGTGGGGCATTAATAATAGCTCGATTGTACGCGTTCATGTTCAACAACAGTATACTGATATTGGCTTGCTCGAACTGGTTCAATTTCACACACATACCCACACACACACACACACACACACACACACACAGCGTACATCTCAATTTACATAGCCGTGTGCTTCACCATCGAGCGATTTATAGCTATACGCTATCCGCTCAAAAGACAAACATTCTGCACTGAGTCGCTGGCCAAGAAGGTAATAGCAGGTGAGTGGCCATCCGATGGATGTGATGCGGCCCCCGCCCTGGAACAGCATTGAGCCAGCCTTTGTATTGTTTTGACAGCCGTCGCGCTCTTCTGCCTGTTGACCACGCTCTCGACGGCGTTCGAGCACACATATGACATCAATTGGAAATTGATTGATGGCGCCTATAGGCCCTGCAATCTGACGCTGGCAAATGTGTCGCCCACACCGGCCCAGCCCACCCCGGCGACCGCATGGCATGTAGATGAGCATGCGAACAATGCTGCCACGCCTCGCTATCTGGAGCCCTTCGATTTAAGCAGCGGCAGCGGCAGCGGCGCTGGCGAGGCAGGTGAGTAAAGTTACCTGAAATGCTGCTTGTCCTTTAAATACTTTCATTAAGTAACTTTCTATCTATCCCTCTCTCTCTCTCTCTTCATCGCTTTCGTTTTATCTCTCACTGTCCCTTTGAAAGACCACATTCCAAGCAGGCAGCACCGGTTACCAGCATCCACGTCCGCCTCGGTGGGCGTGACAGCCGCAGCCACCGATCCGGCAACGGGGGCGGCCACTGCGAGCTTGCTGCAGTTGTCACGTGCCAGACGCAGCGAGGACAACTTTGACAACGAGGCCAGCTCTAACAACAATTACAACTACAACAATAATAGCGCATTCGCATTTAACATAACGGAATACTGTCAAAATGTAAGCGAACAAAGAAAAACAAGTAAGAGTGCACTAGTCGGCAGTACCTGACGGGGAAATACCCTGTGCACAGCACCGAGCTGCAGTCACAAATACAAAAAGTTATTTCTTTAAATACACGCACACGTGAAAAGCTTTATCTTCCCTCAGGCCCACACTATGGAAAATGGGTCCTTGAATATCTTCGGTGTGCTTTGTCCGATTTTTATAAAATTTCCAGGGCATAAATTTGGTATTCGAATGTGTGTAAATACTTAAGCTCAAAGCTTTACCCCCAAAATTGAGTTATTCTTACAATTTCGATGGAACGAGGAAATTATATATGAAGTAAGATATTCCGTGTGCATACCTAATTTGCATGCATAACAAGTTTGGTATCTCTAGCTCTTATCACTTCGGATATTCGTTTGAAAGCTTCTCTTTCAAAATCGATATTTAACAATGTTATATTAATAGGAATCGATTTTTAAAGAAACTCTGATGAACTTGATCTGCGTATGAAGCATAGACATTTTAAATTTCTCTAGCTCTCAGATAGACAGATCGACCCACCTTGACGATTTGATCCAAAATATGTATAGTTCGGAGTGGCTTAAATAAGAATTTGTTTAGCAAATAATAGTATTTACTACATGGCTTATATGTGATCTTGTCTAAAACAAACTTTTTTCTTTTGAAGGTAGAATTTTAGAGATATTTAGATATTGATATATGTATCTGATTTGTTGGGTTATGACAAAGTCGTAGTCAATAATTCCGACTAATATTTTTGTTGACTACGAAAGGGGTTCGATCCATAAATATCGTGCTCAGAGTGCCGACGACTAATTTCACCTAATATAATATTAAGAGTATGTAGGAATCTAATTATTTTTACAAGCTTGTCCGCATTTAGATGACTGTCTATACAAATGGGCTATCGAGTCTGGGCCAAAATGCCCTGTACTTTAATATCTGGAGTGTGTACACATTGATTGTATTTGTGGTGCTGCCGCTCTTTGTGCTGGCCACCTTCAACTGTTTTCTCATTCTGCTTGTGCACCGCTCAAAGAGCCTTCGTGGGGATCTTACCAACGCCAGCAGCATCAGGCGAACCAAGGTAACACGGAGCCGCTCCCTTAAGAACTAATCCTGCTCATAACAGTTAATCAGACTGGACTCATTCCCTTCTCTTAGCGTAAGTCCAACTCCGGGCTAACGGGCAGCGTATCGCAGGAAAATCGGGTGACCATCACGCTGATTGCGGTGGTGCTTCTGTTCATTGTATGCCAGCTGCCTTGGGCCATCTATTTGATACTGGTGCAGTATGTGGAAATCGAAATGAATATACAAAGGATTGCCGGGAATGTGTGCAATCTGCTGGTTGCCATCAATGCGGCTGCCAATTTTTTCTTATATTGTGTCCTCTCCGACAAGTATCGGAAGACGGTGCGTGAGCTAATCACGGGCTATCGATATCGCCATCGGCACGCGCGCAACAACATCAGCCTCTATGCGCCACACACGACGACTACGCTCAATGGGGATGGAGCCGGCGGCGGTGGTGCGAGTGGCTATGGTAGTAGATACAGCGGTGCAAGCAGTCGACGTTGCCGTGGTAAATCGGCGGTCGCGAGGCGTTTAATTGCGTGAGTCACGAAGTCACGAGTTGAGTGCGGTTCCTGATCATCGATAATTATTGTAACATTTTTTTTTGTCTTATAGCTAAATCATGTCTCATTTTTACAATTCGAAAGCTGTACAATCCTAAAAACTCTGTGTTAGACTAAGCTGAGCAGTGCATACATATTTTAACTTTTTACTATTTACGACCATACATTTGTGCCATAATGTGATGATTATAGTTTGTATGATATGTAGTTATCCTAATCGTAATTGTTGTTGTCCTAAGCGTCATAAATGTGTAGTCTTAATAAATACAATTGAGATCACTTTCACTAGTTCATTAAACAAATTAATGCTTCCACTAAACAATTTATTTTTTATATTTAAATTGAGTCAAATTAGGCTGGGGCATGAGCTGCCAGAATTGCAAATAAATTTATTAAGATATTCTACAAAGAATTTTGGAAATAATTTAAAATTTGATAGGCCGCAAAAGAAATGGTGGCAATTTTCCCAAATTTGTCGCCAGTAGTTTATGTGTTGCACATTTTATGACAAAATTATGATACTCTTCAAAAACGTGTACAAAATAAGCATGCGTGCCTGCAACCATGAGGTCCAGATGCTTGCGCTGTTGCTGAAGCTTTAAAATAAAGCTCTGTGTTCTCTAAATGCTTTAAAAGTGAAAATCAACATTAATTAAAATAATCCCCAGTGCCTTAAAAAGCAAATATAAACATAATAAAATAAAGGAAAATTTTAAAACAATTCTAAACAAAATAAAACCTATGTATATCACAAATTCATTTGAGGGGTGTTTCATACTTCTCGAAGAATGCATTCCTTGGTGGAAATGGAGTTCACACATTTGGTTGGTGACGTTTCGTGCTCAAATTTATTTCCAAAGATCTATACGAAAAATCATTTGAGACTTGTTTCACACATTTCGCAGAATCCAAGCTTCCTCGGTAGAAAATGCGATTCAACAATTTTTTCGCTAAGTATTAAGTTTTTTCCAATTTGGATCAAACTTATTTTCAGAGCTATACATAAGTTCTTAAGAAATACGTGTTAAAGTTTTAAGCACAAAAAGTTCCATGGGCAAAGCCGGGCAATACTATATTTACTATATATATATAAATAAGCTATTATTATTACTATTAAGATCTTATAAACGTTTATTTTGCGCTGGAATCGATCAGTGCCTTCTGATCTCTACCAAGCGAATAACTAATGAGTGGTTTATAGTTACTATAATGTAACTTATGTAATATTGACAGTGATGTTATTTACAATGATGTTATTTACAATGCTTAAATAATACGCCTCGTAGGTAGGTCGTCGGGGTGTAGCCTTCGGAGGCGCCTCTCGCTGATGGAGCCAGCCAGGACCTTGGCGGCCGCGTTCGGGTGCTGCAGCAGCTTGTCGGCGTATCGTATTACGATCTATAATCGCATCCGCTTACAAAATTCAGGGGAATTGAGTTATTCGTGTTACATGTAGTTTATCCATTGGCAAAATTATATTTCAGATAACTTTATAAAGAAAATACGAAATATTTGTACGCATTAAAGCCACAATTTCGATATGGCCATCAACTGTAATTGCAGTTGAATATTTACGGAATGCGCTTAAGAGTATACAAAGGGAATTAGGTTAAAAGTACGTTGAAATTGGAGCGATTGAGATTTGCTGCAAAGTTGTGGTAGCTTTACAATGGGCGAGCAGACAAAACTTATGCCCAATGGGGTAGCCCTGATAGGACCCAGTCATGCTACACCAAAAATACTCGGCGAGAGCATGCACACACACATACGCACATGCAGACTGTTACAAACGTAATGGAGTAACAAACATTTGCGGTTTACTGCATTTGTTCCTCTGCGTGTGTGTATGGTCGTGTGTGTGTGTGCGTGTGTGTTTGCACACAAAAAATTGTGCACACACACAATACACACATGCACACATACTTTGTAAATACACTTGCAGTGATGAGCCAAAAAAAAGTAACCAAATACAACAATTGCTCCCAGCATGTGTGTTGTGTGTGTGTGCGTGTGTGTGCGCATTAAGAGTGTCAGTTGCCTAGCCGGCTTTTCCACCCATTTTCCACCACACTTTACCATATAGTGAGCCCTTTTCTCTGCTCGTGTTCATGAAAAATTACAAGTCAGCGTCACAATTGAAATATTTCCGCCTCAACGAACAGAAATGCGCAATCGAAAATAGTTATCTTGCCATTGGAATTTGCCAGAAATATGCAACTGGCGGGACGACTGGTCGCAGTCGGATATGGCAACGACATCGGAGCAGCCAGCGCGTCGGACAGACGACATTTGCCGGCGTCACCCATATTGTGGGCATATGCGGATTATGGTCTGTGTGTGTGCACGTGTGTGTGTGCGTGTGTGTGTGTGCCGCAAAAACCTCGCCTACCCATTTTCAAGCTGCTTTGGCTGGTCAGAAATTTCCATATTTGATTGTTTTTGAGCGCCTGCAACAAAAACAGTAACAACAACAGTAGTAACAACAAAAGAGTCAAAAGCAACAGCTACAACAGCAAAGAGAGGGAATCGGCATCGGAATCGCTGATAGAAGGGCAACGGCTCGACGTCTGTTTATTGAAAATGGCACGTATGTGAATCGCTGGTCAGTCGATTGGTGAATGCAATGTGGCATACTTTCAGGCGCAGACCAAAACCATACAAATATTCACAACAATTGAGACTTTTTGATGCGCTGCAAAGATGACGAATACTAAAAGGAATTTTATAAATCGCACCAAATGATCCCTTTTTTTTCATAGTATACAAAACAATCTTCTTTACAGCCTTCGCTGGCAGATAGAACGGTTTAATTTTATAAATCGCGTATTCTTGTAATAAGCTGTATATAGCTTATAGACATATCGATAGTTAACTGATTCATATGCAGCAATATAGGAATTAAGGGTAAAACACATGACTAAATAAATGTCTAAAATGCCTTCAATTTTAACCTTTGATGAAACAACTTAAAAAAATCGCAAAAGGGACTTGAAGTTCCAGTTTTTTATATTACAGAGTCCCAACAGTTGCCACCATCAAGTAAATGCAATAAATTCGAATAAACAATACTGCCAAGAGTTTAAGACACGCAAACTCTACTCTATATTTTTTTTCTTATATGTTATATGTATTTACATAAATATAATTTTCACACGATAATTATTTGATTCGATCTTCTACAAGTACAACAAAAACGAAAACTCATTTCTTAATTTTTTGCAGAGCAACGAAGTTTTCACGTATTTCTTGTGGATTTCATAATTTTGATTTGATTAGTTCTAGCCCATAGCAATTCAATTTTGGTAAATGTTCAGTTCAATCTTCACTTCAATCATTCTCTAGCACAGCAGGTTCTACTATGAATCCAAATAGAAACTCTGTTATATGGTCAGATGTATTTTCAGCTACAGCCAGCCTTATATCTCGAGCTATGGTGTCAATTAATTCATGAGACACACATTTGGTTCGGTTATGTTCTCAGTTATCTCATTAATTACACCAATAATTAATTCGTTAGCTATGTATTTTGTAAGCAAGTCAGTTAAATGTTCAACTTTAGCTTCAGTCATATCCTTTTCCGAGTGAGGCTTTAAAGTAGGCTCATCTTCATTAGTTCTATGTGTATCGCACTTATAACTTTCATCGCTTTAAGTTCAATCCTCATCATCATCCGTTAAATTTTTTCCTTTGTCTCTTTGAAATAAGTTTAAATCAAGTTTTCCATTCGCGGTCAACTATCTCACTTTGATTATCAATTGCATAAGAAGTGTGCTATCCAGATTCTTTGGGCTTGTCAAGCTCATATTCAATTTCAATAGTTAGAATGCAACTGATATCTCTTTCATTGTATGTTTTATTAATTGTTTTTTCATTCACTGATGTGGATTCCTCAGGCTGGTTCTCTTTGACTTGGTTACTTTCAAATGTGTGTCTGCACAATTTTAATTGCACGATAGCAAAAACGAGAGTCGACTGTTTTTTATTGCTGACGTACATATTATACATACGCAAACCTCGATGTCTACTATAAACTATATATACTACTAGCGGGTATAACCCGGCCTTGCCCGTGGAACGTATGTTAAAAATCAACGTTCTCAAAAAGCTTTGAAAGTGATTTTGAAACTTATCGGGCGGTAAACAAACAGTTTTCATAGAAATGTTTTCCGCCAATTTACCAATGTTGCGAGTGGAATTTCCCAAATCGCTCAAACACTTATTCATTATATTCTTATGTAGAGCTTTGAATATAAGTTTGAAGCAAATCGGACACAACTTAAAACTTCGCACAAAAAATCTTTGAGTCGCATTCCACCCGAAAAAGTTTGGATTCTGCGAAAAGTGTGAAACACGTCTCAAATGATTTTTCTTATAGATCTTTGGAAACGAATTTGAACACAAAACGTCACGCACCAAATCTTTGACCTCCATTTCCACTTGCGAGTGGAATTTCCCAAATCGCTAAAACACTTATTCATTATATTCTTATGTAGAGCTTTAAAAATAAGTTTGAAGCAAATCGGACACAACTTTAAACGCCGCCCAAAAAATCTTTTAGTCGCATTCCCCCCGAAGAAGTTTGAATTCTGCGAAAAGTGAGAAACACGTCTCAAATGATTTTTCATACAGATCACTGGAAATGAATTTGAGCGCGAAACGTCACCCACCAAATCTTTGACCTCCATTTCCACCAAGGACGAACGGATTTTTCGAAAAGTGTGAAACACCCCTCAAATGAATTTGAACAAAGATCTTTGAAAATAAGTTTGAGGCCGATCGGATGGTAAACAAAAAAGTTACATACAAACGTTTTTCGCGATTTTTCCACACTTGCGAGTGGAATTTCCCGAAACCCCGTCTTAACGTGCACCTACATCACATAAGGTAACTACAGTGAAAATTTCAGCTTCCTAGCTCTTACGGTTTGGGCTGTGCGTTGATCACCAATCAGTCAGTCAGTCAGTCAGTCAGGACAAACAGTTTTATATATAGAGATAAACGTGCAAACATCTAGAGAAACTATCAGAAGAGGTAGCGAATGAACTTCATTTTTGTTTTTAATATTATTAATATTTTAATTGTTTTCAAAGTAAAATTTCGTAACATTCATGAATGCTTGTGGCGAAACCAGCTAAGCAGCTTGTACAAGTAATATAACCAGTCGTTTGTAGAGTATTTGCATTGCATTTCACACACACACACACACACATACACATCCTTACACACTTTAACACACAGTAAATGCGAAACAAAATCCAAGCTGACTAAAAAACTGAAGT